AATTTTCAGAATTTCAACTCTGACCAAGGATCTCCCTCAAGGTTCAGATGCACTCGGCGGATATATTGATTCAGTATTATGTCATCTCCCTCCACGGTTTGTTCCAGTACTGTGTGAATGTGTGAATTTTTATATTCTAGTGAGCACATTTATAAAACTGATGAAGTGATAACTTATGTTGTATTGTACCGAATGAATTTGGTTAGAATTCGCAAACTTTTTGTTCAATCGTCGATTGTGAGATTCGATCTTCTGATTGTGGAACGACAGATATCTGCGGTGCTATTGAAATGTATTGTTGCAGATGGCGTAACTGGGTGGTAAGAGGTATTTTCACATTCATAATGATCTCGTTGTTCAGTTTCATCATAAAACTTGGCCCAACATGGTTGATGGCATTGGTATGTTCCGTTGTTTGCTAGTGATAACAGTAATGATTCTGGCTAAGTTCATTTGTTTGAAGATATGGATTGTTTGGTTGAACTTAGTGTATACGAATGATTTCCTAGTTATTCAAGTTTTATTTCCTTAAAAGTTTTTCAACTCGTTTCTGTTTTTCGTCTCGCTTAATGCTTGAAATATTCGCACTGTTTTCGCAGGTATTTGTGATCCAGTTTTGGTGTTTTTACGAGATCATATCAATTGGATTGGCAGTCTATCGTCTCTATGACTTACCATGGTTCAGAGCATTGTCGTGGTATTTCCTAATCACGTCCAATTATTTCCTATTTGGCGAGAACCTTATCGACTATTGGAGTATTCTTCTGCGAAAAGATGTTCGCTTATCCTATGTCTCTTTTGAAGTTAATTCCATCATTCTTTTTGTTTGATCATCTTTTGAGCTGTCAATACTCACTGGGATTTGCCCTGGTAAACTTTAACTAAATCCAATCAAGAAATTTGCCAGCACAAAACACTGACGATAGAAATAGAGCGCTGACAAGGAATGAGATTTATTTCAGCAATTTCTACACTTTTTGATTGTTCACCACCGTTTGATCAGCTTCACACTCTATCTTATTGGTTTCGTTTGGTTTGTGTTATCGTTAAGAAAAGGATACTATATGCGACAGTTCTCATTGGTTAGAATTCTTTTGTTTGGGTTAATTAAATGTTTTCATTCCATTCCTTTATGGTTTGGAGCCGAAATTGATTCTAGCCAAGAGTTTGTATGGCCAATTAATGATTTCAGTTTGCATGGTCACATGTCACCTTACTTCTGATCGTTTCACAATCGTTCTTCATCATTCAAAACATATTCCAAGGAATGATTTGGTNTGAATTCAAGTCGGATAGTTTTTGTTTCGTTTTGTTTTGGGTGAGTGTTGAAATGGATGAGATTCGATGTGGTGCAAGCCAAACGCACATGATAAAGCATTGGAATCTGTATGAATATGTGATCAAAAACGATTGATAGCCAAGTTGGAAGTAAGATTCACTCAAATGAAAGTTAAATTGCACTTCAGGTTCTTGGTACCAGTAGGGATGATTATCTGTTGCGATGTGATGTCGTATTTGTTCGGATTCTTTTTCGGCAAAACACCACTCATCAAATTATCGCCGAAGAAGACATGGGAAGGTTTCATTGGTGGAGCGATAAGCACCGTTATTTTCGGTGTCAATGTGAGTGTGTGATTATCGTTTGATTACAGTGAATCTGTTTCAGTTCAACGTCGCAATCGAATCGTTTCAAAAGCGATGAACATTGAACAGTACAACTTTGTTTTATGATTGATATTCCAAATTGTTCCATAGCACTTTGTTTTGTTCATAATCTAATCGGATAATGAATGTTCAGCAACATTGGAAGGATACATTCGAATGGAACGATAACTTTATGATTTTTTGCATCACATTTTCAGTTGTCTCCACAAAAGTTTTCGCTTCATTTCGGTGTTAATATTTGTTGATAGATGTGAAGTTGTAGTTGCTAAAAAATCGTGAATGTCTGATGCAGTTTGCAGTTGGTTTAAAAATGCTTTTCATCGGAGTTAATGAATTTCAGCTATCGTACTTGCTAATGCGTTATCCGTTCTTCGTGTGTCCAATTGAAGACTACACTGTTGACAACTGGAATTGCACCATTCCGCCCTCATTCCAGCTCAGGTTCCATATTTGCATATTCGTGGAACAGACAAGCTGAATGTGTTTTGTGTGTTATTCTGTAGCGTTGCAATTGATAAAATACAGCATCAGCTGTTCAGCATTAGAATATCAACTGTTTTGCTATTTCGTTTTTGTGAACATTTTTTTGTTTTGCAGAGAAATTCAATTCAAAGGACCGCT